GACATGTCATTCCAGAGGACCGCTGGGTGTGTGGGGCGGCATTGGTGGGACAAAGAGAACTGGTAGAAGAAACAGAGAATGATGAATACGCCCAGAATAAGCTCAGAGGTCTTAGGGATGAGGGAGAGGAATCAAGGGGTTTCGAGGAAAGAAATGGAGCTTTGTATTACAAAGGGGCACTGTATATCCCTGAAGGAGACTTAAGGGGAGGGTACTCAAGCAGTTGCATGACAGCCCCACGGCGGGGCATTTTGGGCAACACAAAACCATGTGGTTGGTCACCAGGGAATTTTGGTGGCCTAAGGTGAGGGAGGATGTACGTGAGTATGTAAGAGGGTGCGAGCAGTGCCAGCGAGCCAAAGGGGAAAGGCGGGCGCCGGCGGGGCTATTAGAACCCTTACCAACACCAGAACGACCTTGGGAGGCAGTGTCGATAGATTTTATGACTGATCTGCCGAAGTCCAAAGGGAAAACAGCCATCATGGTGGTGGTAGACCTACTAACAAAGATGTGCCACTTTGTAGCTTGCTCGCATGCAGTCACGGCGGAAGAGACAGCGAAGTTATTTGTAGAACACATTTTTAGGTTGCACGGGGTGCCATTGAGGGTGGTCTCAGACCGAGGAAAACAATTTACTTCCAGGTTCTGGAGGAAGCTCATGAGCTTACTGCAGGTGGAGGTCAACTTTTCGACTGCCCGGCACCCTGAAACCAACGGGCAGGCGGAAAGAGCAAACGGTGTCCTCCAGCAATACCTGAGGTGTTATGTCAATGACAGAGAGAATGACTGGGTAGAAAAGTTGGCGCTGGCGGAATTTGCCTACAACAATGCCGAGAATGTGTCCACAGGGATGAGCCCCTTCTTGGCTAATTATGGGTGTCATCCCAGGGCTTTCCCAGGGGAGAAGGGGAGAGATGGAGCGTACCGGCAGCCGAGCATTTTGTAGAAGAAATGGAAGCAATCCACCGTCAGCTCCAACTCAACTTAGAAAGGGCGAAGGAAGAATACAAGAGGCAGGCAGACAAGAACCGAAGGGAAGGTGAAACCATAAGGGTTGGAGATAGGGTGTGGCTGTCAACCCGAGGGTTGCCGTTCAAAGGAGGTTGTAGAAATTACGACCCAGGAGGTTGGGTCCCTTTGAGGTCATTCAACAGGTCAACCCAGTGGCTTTCAGGCTCCGGTTACCCAACCACATGAAACTGCACCCAGTATTTCACAGGTCGTTACTGTCACCGTACGAGGGGGGACGAGAAGGGATGGACACTCGGGGACCGGTCATAGAAGAAGAGAATGCAGCAGTCATGTGGCAGAAATCCTTGATGCCAGGTGGAAGGGGAATCAGGTGGAGTATTTGGTAGCGTGGGAAGGAGAACCGGAGTCAGAAAACACGTGGGTAATGGCCAAAGATATCAATGACGAGGTATTGATAGAAATGTTCCATCAAAGGTTCCCGCGGAAACCTCAGCCTGTGGAGAGGTTCCGGAGGGAATACTTTGGGACCACTGAGGAGGAGGAGGAGTTGGAAGGATTCCCAGAATCGGAAGGGGAAGGGGAGATGGACTCGGAGGAGGAGGAGTGCTTGAGACCAGGAACCGCAACAGGTGGAGAGAAGTGTTCGAGACATCGGAAGATGAAGGAAGTTCATTCCGGGGTTTTGCCTCCTCACCGCCCGTAGAGGAGGGGGCGAGAGGGGGTGAAGGGGGCCCTGGAGGGGAGGTGGATGTCAGGGAACTGCCATCGGAAGGAAGGGAGGTGAAAGGACTCAGACAGGTTGGAAGAGATTCAGCAGCTGAAGAGGGAACCAGCAAGGGAGAGAAGCTGAACTGAGGGAGGTGAAAGGGCTCAGACCGGTTGGAAGAGACTCAGCAGCGGAAGAGGAAACCAGCAGGGGAGACAAGCTGAACTGAGGGAAAGGGAGCTGGGGGATGGCTCAGAGATACTTCCAGCGAAAACAGTGGTGAGGTTTCCGGACCTCCTGTAGCGACACCCACTCCTCGCCGGAAACTGTCACGCAGAGAGTCCAGAAGACGTGTTTCCGTTAAGGAGCTTTTATGTTGGAAGCGATTACGAAAGCAACCACTGTCGGAATCTTCTAGTGACTAAGAGGAGCCATGTCAGAGGGGCTCAGTCACAGACAGAGGTTTGTGGACTTGAACAAACTCTGAGGGAATACGATTTTACGCACAAGCAGCTCATAATCCCATCACAGACAGTGTTCTTGAAACTACTAACATGAGTTTGACCAAACTGCGGGAGGCAGTGGAAGACGGGAGTGCCTGGTGAGCTCTGGTCCATGGGGTCACGAAGAGTCGGACTCGACTAAACGACTAAACAACAACAAAAAATTATGTGGGTGCTAGCACACAATGCTGCGGGAAGCAAAAAGGCGAGTTGACGTTACTCGATACTGGTGTCATAGGAAATCACGTCTTCATATTATTAATTATGCCGATGATTAAGTTTATGATTTACCCTTCACCGGCAGGCCCTAGGGCAAGTTGCAACAATTTAAAATTCAGAACAAAAAACAAATCACAGTAACAGGAATAGTGGAGATGCGAGGGATTGAAAGTGGGGGCCTTCCACATGTAAAGCATCAACTCTTGCCATGAAGCAATGGCCATTCCTTCCCTTCCTCAGAGGTCCAACTCCATATGACCTCCCTGCCTCATACATGGTGACTGGTTACATTGGTAGGACCTTCTTAGCAGTGGTGTTGGAGTAGAGGAAGTGCCTCCCTCAGAATATGCACCTCACTCCTTCCTCTCTGTCTTTCAAGCCAACCTCTGTCCGCCTGATGCATTCCAGCTGTTTTGGACCACAGCGCCCATCAGCCCTTGCCAGCTCACCCCACCTTTCCTCCAAAAGTAGTCCAGGTTGGCAAACAACAAAATGCGAAAACAACACAATTTAAAGCAAAAATTAAAATTAAAATATTCAGGTTCTCCATTCCCTTGGTTCTCTCTTTCCCACCACATTCATAACAGTACTCAAACCCATATTTATAACCACTTTTATATACATATTAATAAGGAAGCATTTAATCTATTAATAATCATTCTGGATCCAGACTCATTGGAATCTCCAAGTTTTTATAGTGAGAAACCTGCTACTCAAATAATCTTAATATATCTAAGAAATATTGTATGGTTTTCAACAAATACAGTAGATTCTTTATCTCTCTCCAGGACCACTCTACCTCCCCAATTGTTTTCTATTCTTTCTTTCTTCTCCTCCTCTCTCTCTCTTTAGGTTTTCTTTTCTTGTTGATAATTAAATAGCTACAATATTATAATATCTCAATCAGAAATGTTCCTTATTTGTTTCTATATTATCTAGATTGAGAATGTATAACATTGTTAAAGTGTTAAAAACTGAATTAGAATGATAAAAAATGAAAACATATTCAGGCATCTAAAAGCAATTTTTAAAAACCATTTAGAAACTTTTAAAGACATCCAAAAACCCAAAACCTTTTAAAAGCTGATAAAGAAGATAATTGTATGTTTGATGCTGATGGAAACATGGTGTGTAAATGTTAAAATTATAAATAGAGAAGAATTAAAATTCAATGCTAAAACATTGCTTTTATTCATAAAATAAATAAAATAAATGTATTAATAATGAAAATGATGATGATAGAAGAAAATGTATGTTTCACGCTGAGACCTGAATAGTTTTTCAGAAACAAACAACTCCATCTTGTTCATCTAAACTCTCTTCCCCACCTCTAGGTAAAAGGAAAAGGTATAGAACCCATGACAGTTAAGTTCAGTCAAAGGCGACTATGAGGTGTGACGCTCATCTCTCTTCAGGGCAAGGGAGCCAGCATTTGTCCACAGCAAAGCTTTTGAGTTCAACGGCTTGGTGTCTAGAAGAATATTTGGAACCAAGTCCTTCTTCTGTCCCACATCAGCTGCTTTGATTTACCCATCTGGTGGCTATTAAATTCAACCAAGTTAAGTCAACAGGGAGTTTGGTGCTAAAAATTTACAGAAGATTAGATTAGCGATCTACAGGAAATAGATTGCCTGCTTTGCAGGAGAAAAAGAAAAGAGAGGAGCCCTCTGCACCTGAAATGTATTGACAGAGCTGTTTTTACCTAATCAACTCAATCGGGCAGTGGAAAACATTTGGTTGCAAATTCAGCCCTGCCTCGGCATAAACAGATTGCATTTTGGGTTGTGTTATTATTAGTGCAGGCTGGACAGCTTGAATGTGAGGATAATTTATTCCCTGTACACTTCTAATTACAGCAAAGGAGGTTCGATCAGTGACACACTTGTCCATCTCGTTCTTTCTCGTCTTTCAGGCATGGCTGCATGCAGTTAGGAGACAGACCAGCGCAAAGCATATGAGAAACACAACTCTGTCAGGAAAGGACTGAAGTGTTACCGTTAATTATTCTGGACCATGTGCTCGTTTACAACCCATCTAACATGAGAAATTGTCTCCGAGGTGTCAAACAGCATCACTTACGTAAGTGCAGGGAAGCAATCGCAAAATGTTTGAGTGACTGGATTTGGGTGACCTGCCAGAGACCCTCACCAGAAGCTTTGAGATTTAGCTCCCAATTTGTGTGTCTTCAAGTTCGACGCAGAATTTAAATTGGGACTCACTCTTGAAGTGTCTCTTTAAAAACACACATGCACACACACACACGCCCAATTCACTGTTGGGAAAGGAGGGAAAGGGGAGAAATTTGATTCCATTAAGATTTAAAGGCGAACCTACATAATTTCCAAAATAACGCCTGGGCCGATTTCTTTTTATGCTGCCATCCTTCAAAATCGGCACCATGGTTCTCCAGTCAAGTAGTTTGCACATAAATGCATATACTAGCGTATAAAAATGTAGATATTAGTGGAAATAACAAAACTAGGGGGAAATTGCTTTGCAAAATGTACATATTAGGCAAAATTGCATACAAGCACGTGTATATGAGGAGAAATCTGCTGACAAATTTTCATGAGGATTTTAAAATATCATAAACTGTGGAAACACAACCTGACTGTCTGTCTCCAGGCATGGTGGTCATCCACAAGGGAATCCCATGTGGATGACCACCATGCCTGGAGACAGACCCAGTCAGGTTGTGTTTCCACAGTTTATGATGACTTTAAAATCATAGGTTCTGTCAGCAGATCTCCTCCTCATACACACGTGCTGTATGCTATCTGTTTGCCTAATATGTACATTTTGCAAAGCACTACCTTTTCTAGTTTTGTTATTTCCACTAATATCATGCATTTTTATACGCTAGTATATGCATTTATCTGCAAGCTGCTTGACTGAGAACCATGGTGCCGACTTGAAGCGATGCTGTTACAAAAGAAATCGGCCCAGGCGTGCTCTTTGGGAATTATGTAGGTTCGCCTTTAAATCTTAACGAGGTCAAATTCCTCCTTACCTCCTTTCCAACAGCGGAATTGGGCGGTGTGAGTGTGCATGTGTGTTTTTGGGGAGACACTTCAAGAGTGAGTCCACTTAAATTCTGCGTCAGCTAAAGACACACAAATTGGGAGCTGCAGCTCGAAGCTTCTGGCGAGGGTCACCGTCGCCCAATCCGACAATCAAGCATTTTGCCATTGCTTCCTCTGCATTCTCACGTCAAGGGGATGCTGTTGACACTGAGACAATTTCATGATGGGCTCAACGAGCACATGGTCCCAGAATGACGCCAACACTTCAGTCCTTTCACTGACAGAGTTGTGTTTCTCATATGCTGGCGCTGGTCTCAGTCTCGCTAGCTGCAGGCAGCCATGCCTGAGAGACGAGAAAGACTCAGATGGACATGTGTCACTGATCGAACCTCCTTGTGAGTTACAAGTGTACAGGGAATAGATTATCCTCACGTTCAAAGCTGGTCCAGCCTGCACTCAATAATAACACGGCCCAAATGCAATCAGCTATGTTACAGGTAATGAATTTGCTAGCCAAATGTTTTCCACTGTCCCGATTGAGTTGATTAGGTAACAACAGCTCTGTCAATACATTTCCCAGGTGCAGAGGGCTCCTATTTTCGATTCTCCTGCAAAGCAGGCAATCTATTTCCAGTAGTCGCTAATCTAATCTTCTGTGCATTTTTAGCACCAACCCTTGTTGACTTAACTTGGTTGAGCTTAATAGCCATCAGATGGGTAAATCAGAAGCGGCTGATGTGGGACAGACGAAGAAGGACTTGGTTCCGAATATCTTTCAGACGCCAAGCCGTTGAACTCGAAGCTTCGCTGTGGACAAATGCTGGCCCTTGCCCTGAAGAGATGAGCGCCACACCTCGTAGTCGCCTTTGACTGAACTTAACTGTCATGGTTCTATACCTTTTCCTCACGCAGAGGTGGGGAAGAGAGTTTAGATGAACAGAGATGGAGCTGCTTGTTTCTGAAAAACTATTCAGGTCTCAGCGTGAGAAACATACATTTTCTATCATCATCATTTTCATTATTAATACACTTATTTTATTTATTTTATGAATAAAAAGCAATGTTTTAGCGTTGAATCTTAAATTTTTCTCTATTTATAATTTACAACATTTGCACGCCATAAGCCTATCAGCATCAAACGTGCAATTATTATCTTCTTTATCAGCTTTAAAAGGTTTTGGGTTTTTTTGGATGTCTTTAAAAGTTTGCAAATGGTTTTTAAAAATTGCTTTTAGATGCCTGAATATGTTTCTTACTTTTATCATTCTAATTCAGTTTTTGACACTTTAACGATGTTATACACATTCTCAATCTGGACAATATAGAGGACAAATAAGGAGACATTTCTGGCTGAGATATTATAATATTGTAGCTATTTAATTATCAACAAGAAAAGAAAACCTAAAGGAGAGAGAGGAGGAGAAGAAATAGAAAACAGTAGAGACAATTGGGGGAGTTAGAGTGGTCCTGAGAGAGATAAAGAACCTACTGTATTTGCTAGAGAACCACGCGAATATTTCTTAGATATATTAAGATTATTTGAGTAGCAGGTTCTCTCACTGCAAAAACTTGGAGATTCCAATGAGTCTGGATCCAGAATGATTGTTAATGGGTTAAATGCTTCACTTGATTAATATGTATATAAAAGTGGTTATAAATATGGGTTTGAGTACTGCTATGAAATGTGGTGGGAAAGAGAGAACCAAGGGAGATGGAGAACCTGAACATTTTAATTTTAATTTTTGCTTTAAATTGTGTTGTTTACGCATTTTGTTGTTTGCCAACCTGGACTGCCTTTGGAGGAAAGGGGGTGAGCTGGCAAGGGGCTGATGGGCGCTGTGATTCAGGACAGCTGGAACGCATCAGGCGGACAGAGGTTGGCTTGAAAGACAGAGAGGAAGGAGTGAGGCGCACGTTCTGAGGGAGGCACTTCTCTACTCCAACACCACTGCTAAGAAGGTCCTACCAATGCAACCAGTCACCATGTATGAGGCAGGGAGGTCATATGGAGCTGGACCTCTGAGGAAGGGAAGGAATGGCTATTGCTTCATGGCAAGAGTTGATGCTTTACATGTGGAAGGCCCTACTTTCAATCCCTCGCATCTCCACTATTCCTGTTACTGTGATTTGTTTTGTTCTGAACTTTAAATTGCTGCAACTTGCCCTAGGGCCTGCCGTGGTGAAGAGGTAAATCATAAACTTAATCATCGGCACAATTAATGATATGAAGGCGTGATTTCACTATGACACCAGTATCGAGCTGATCGTCAACTGCGCCTTTGCTTCCGCAGCGTTGTGTGCTAGCACCCACATAATTTTTTTGTTGTTGTTTAGTCGTTTGATGTCGAGTCCCGACTCTTCGTACCCCATGGACCAGAGCTCACCAGGCACCTCGCCTTCCACTGCTCCCGCACTGGGTGGTCAAGCTCACGTTAGTAGTTTCAGGAGCACTTGTGCAGTAGATGGGATTATGAGCTGCTTGTGCGTAAAATCGTATTCCCTCAGAGTTTGTTCAAGTCCACAAACCTCTGTCTGTGACTGAGCCCTCTGACATGGCTCCTCTAGTCACTAGAAGATTCCGACAGTGGCTGCTTCGTATCGCTTCCAACATAAAAGCTCCTTAACGGAAACACGTCTTCTGGACTCTCTGCGTGACAGTTTCCGGCGAGGAGTGGGTGTCGCTACAGGAGGTCCGGAAACTCACCACTGTTTTCGCTGGAAGTATCTCTGAGCCATCCCCCAGCTCCCTTTCCCTCAGTTCAGCTTCTCTCCCTGCTGGCTCTCTTCAGCTGCTGAGTCTCTTCCAACCTGTCTGAGCCCTTTCACCTCCTCAGTTCAGCTTCTCTCCCTTGCTGGTTCCTTCAGCTGCTGAGTCTCTTCCAACCTGTCTGAGTCCTTTTCACCTCCCTTCCTTCCGATGGCAGTTCCTGACATCCACCTCCCCTCCAGGGCCCCTTCACCCTCTCTCGCCTCCTCCTACGGGCGGTGAGGAGGCAAACCCCGGAATGAACTTCCTTCATCTTCCGATGTCTCGAACACTTCTCTCCACCTGCTGCGGTTCCTGGTCTCGAAGCACTCCTCCTCCTCCGAGTCCATCTCCCCTCCCTTCCGATTCTGGGAATCCTTCCAACTCCTCCTCCTCCTCAGTGGTCCCAAAGTATTCCCTCCGGAACCTCTCCACAGGCTGAGGTTTCCTGGGAACCTTGATGGAACATTTCTATCAATACCTCGTCAGCTGATATCTTTGGCCATTACCCACGTGTTTTCTGACTCGGTTCTCCTTCCCACGCTACCAAATACTCCACCTGATTCCCTTCCACCTGGCATCAAGGATTTCTGCCACATGACTGCTGCATTCTCTTCTTCTATGACCGGTCCCCGAGTGGCCATCCCTTCTCGTCCCCCCTCGTACGGTGACAGTAACGACCTGTGAAATACTGGGTGCAGTTTCATGTGGTTGGGTAACCGGAGCCTGAAAGCCACTGGGTTGACCTGTTGAATGACCTCAAAGGGACCCAACCTCCTGGGTCTTAATTTCTTACAACCTCCTTTGAACGGCAACCCTCGGGTTGACAGCCACACCCTATCTCCCACCCTTATGGTTTCACCTTCCCTTCGGTTCTTGTCTGCCTGCCTCTTGTATTCTTCCTTCGCCCTGTCTAAGTTGAGTTGGAGCTGACGGTGGATTGCTTCCATTTCTTCTACAAAATGCTCGGCTGCCGGTACGCTCCATCTCTCCCCTTCTCCCTGGGAAAGCCCTGGGATGACACCCATAATTAGCCAAGAAGGGGCTCATCCTGTGGACACATTCTCGGCATTGTTGTAGGCAAATTCCGCCAGCGCCAACTTTTCTACCAGTCATCTCTCTGTCATTGACATAACACCTCAGGTATTGCTGGAGGACACCGCTTGCTCTTTCCGCCTGCCCGTTAGTTTCAGGGTGCCGGGCAGTCGAAAAGTTGACCTCCACCTGCAGTAAGCTCATGAGCTTCCTCCAGAACCTGAAGTAAATTGTTTCCTCGGTCTGAGACCACCTCAATGGCATCCCGTGCAACCTAAAAATGTGTTCTACAAATAACTTCGCTGTCTCTTCCGCCGTGACTGCATGCGAGCAAGCTACAAAGTGGCACATCTTTGTTAGTAGGTCTACCACCACCATGATGGCTGTTTTCCCTTTGGACTCGGCAGATCAGTCATAAAATCTATCGACACTGCCTCCCAAGGTCGTTCTGGTGTTGGTAAGTGTTATAATATCCCCGCAGGCGCCCGCCTTTCCCCTTTGGCTCGCTGGCACTGCTCGCACCCTCTTACATACTCACGTACATCCTCCCTCACCTTAGGCCACCAAAATTCCCTGGTGACCAACCACATGGTTTTGTGTTGCCCAAAATGCCCTCGTGGAGGCTGTCATGCAACTGCTTGAGTACCCTCCCCTTAAGTCTCCTTCAGGGATATACAGTGCCCCTTTTGTAATACAAAGCTCCATTTCTTTCCTCGAAACCCCTTGATTCCTCTCCCTCATCCCTAAGACCTCTGAGCTTATTCTGGGCGTATTCATCATTCTCTGTTTCTTCTACCAGTTCTCTTTGTCCCACCAATGCCGCCCCACACACCCAGCGGTCCTCTGGAATGACATGTCTCTCTTCGGGTGCTCCCTCCCCCTCCCAATATTCAGG